GCCTTGCCTGTTCCAAATACCACAAGCAGGCTGTGCCTGAATCTTCCCTGTGCCCGCAGCCCTTGGGTTAAGAGTTTCGGTGCTTCAAGCCCAGTGGCCCACCTGTGAGCAGTTTGGGACTCGTTGGGAGTGTTAACTACCTAGGGTGTTAAACAGCTGCCCCTGTCTCAGATTCCTGAAACACCTGTATTCTGTTTACCATTATGGGAAAATTAGAACTTGTCTTGGCTGTGGAAATAAACTTTTAAAAATATGTCTTGCCCTGGCCGGTTTGGCTCAGCGGTTAGAGCGTCGGCCTGCGGTCCTGAGAGACCCGGGTTCGGTTCCCGCTAAGGGCATGTACCTCGGTTGCAGTTTGTCCCCGGCCCTGGTCGGTTGTGCGGGTGGCAGCCACTCGATGTGTCCCTTTCACATCGATGTTTCTCTCTCTCTCTCTCTCTCTGTTCCTCTCTCTCCCTCCCACTCTACCTGAACAAAAAATGGAAAAATGTCCTCGGGTGAGGATAAAAAAAAAATTTAAAAAATATGTCCTTTACCCAAAAGCTACAAGTGAAAACCAACTCCTGGTCTTGAGTTTGCAGTTCTTTTATCTTTCTCTTCTAGCCCTGATGTAGTCCCACTGTTTTGAGAGAAGACTTTTTTTTTTTTCTTAAGGTATCATTTTGGGGGGAAAAATATTTTTATAGCTGACTACTCAGGCTAATCTAGTGGATTTGATCTTAAGATTTCTATGATTCCCCACTTAATGCTCTAAGTATTAAATAGTTGTACTTTTTAGTTGTTAACGCTATGAAGGCAAAAATAACGTTCTTCATTGGAGTGACTATTTTTTGCTGGTCACCAATGAATATACACTGAATGCTGGAAATTGCCGAAATTATATCTTTTTCTTATAGCATATGTAGTGTATTTGTGATGGTTTGTTTAAAACCCTTTCTGTATAAATCAGTTGGTTAGTCTTGGTTGGGGTGGGGTTGAGTTTTGTAGCAATGTAATTCTTCAAGCTCTGCATGTCCAACTCTCTCCATCTTTCTGTCAAAGTGGTGCTCTACTCATCTGACTCAGCCTGAGTACCAGGGGGTAGCCAAGAGATTTAATGGTCCTCTATCTGACTTCGGTTTAACAAAATGTTTGGCAGAACATTTCTGACCAGAAGACATGTATTTCATACCTCTAGAAAGAAGGGGATTGGGGGACAGTAGTTTAATTCTCAATGTGTACCTTTGTTGTTGTTGTTGTTGTTGTTGTTGTTGTTGTTGTTAGTGATAATAGGAAACTGCACTAAAAAAGAAAATGATGATCTCCGGCTATATTTGCCGATATAGAAAGATATTATTTGGTAAATTTCTTCCCAGCTAGACTGTACACTCTATGAGGGCAGAGACTATATGTCTTCTCTGCTCTATTCCTGAGCCTGGCAGTGGTCTAGAAAATAGTAGGCATTCAATCTAGTTGTTGAATACTAATCCCACAATAAATAAAGTGAAAAATCAGTTTATAAAGCAGTATGTATTGTATGACCCTACTCTGTAAAATATGGTATATTTACTTGAGCCTATCTGTATGTATGTGTGTGCACATGAATACACAGAAAAATGTCACAGGGTGGTGAAATTTATAGATCTTTAACTTTGCTAAATTTTATGCAGTTTTGCAATACATGTCTGTTGCTTTTATAATCTAAAGAAAGATCTTTAGAAGGAGAGGGAGAAGAGTGATGAATAAATAATAAAAGATAAAGGATGGAGAATAAAGAAGTAGTCACCACTGGGATGTGGACTACTTAATCCTAATAGTCACCCCCCTGTATTCCACATAGGTAAATACCTATTCTACATACCCTGGCTGCCTTCAAGGGCAAAGAGTTTCCCCAGCTCTGTCTTCAAATGGAAGATGGATTTGAGGGATTCCTCAAGGCTCAGAAACATCAGGATTGCCAGCCTCCCAAAAACTTAGAAATACTTCTCTCCAGCCCCTAGCCTGGTCTCAGCCATGATGCCCTCACCCTGGAAGCTTCCCTGATCCACTAACACATAGCGAAGTCCCAGCATGTGCCAAGAACATGGGCCATGATGCTAGTCCTGGAATTCCTCTGGGATCTGGTCTAGACATCGCCCTGTAACCTGGCTCTTTCTCCATATTGCCCAGTCTCTTTCTTCTTCTCAGTCCTGCTCCAGGCTTCCTTTCCAACATGCTTTGACTGACCCATGACCATCCCATCTTCCCTTCAGGTGTGTGGATGGGTGGTCCTGTTCTTCTAATTTATTTGTATTTATTCTTTCAATTGACTACCAATGCTCATTGAGTGCCCCACGCCCTAGGCAGGGCCCTGAGACAGCACTCAGGACCAAGCTCTCCACTCATACAGCAGATGGAAAAGAGACCGACCGACCACCCCCAAACCCTGCTGCTTTGGTCTAATGAGAAGCTGGGTTAATTCGGAAGTCAGCCTCTTCCCGGGAAGTTAGGCAACACATGAAGCATCTAGGGTATTTTCCTAGAAATTGGTGGCTTTTCTTGTAATGTCTCTAGAAAAACAATCAGAGCAACAATCCAGAACAGCCTGCCCTGTTCCCACAGTACCCAGAGCTATGCCGAGGGTAAATGGGAAAGAGGGCTATATCCTATCTGTAGGCTTTCAAAAGATGGGCAAGCTATTGAACTCTCAAGAATAGGAATTTTAAAATGGCTCCTTCACCAAGTCTTGAGATCAGGGCTGCTGTACTTTGGAGACCAGATTGGATGAGCTTAGAAGAGCAGACAAGGTACAAGAACAGGAGACCAGGTCCTGGTACTCTTCTTGGGCCATTAGATAAATGTACAGATGTCCTGTCATTAGTCCAGCTCTGGTATGACTTGGAGGTGGGGGAGGGGGGTCATGATCTACATGACTTACAAATCCTCAATGGCTGTCCCATTACCCCAGGGTTTCAGCTTTCTGAGAACAGCAGGGAAAGGTCAGGTATACATGCATTTTCTCCATTCCTAATTTTACATTCATCTGGAATTGTATTAGGCAGTTAGACAGAAATGAGCTGAGTAAGAACAATAGGCCAGGTGCAGAGGGTCACCAGGACAGAGAGCCCTGCGTGCCTAGCAATTGGCAAAATTGTAAGCCCTTGCATGACTATTTCCTTAAGCATTAACCCCAGAAAGATGACATCTAGGCTTCAGCTGTGTTTCAGCTCCAGGCCCAGAGAAGCAGCAAAATCAGATTATGTGGTGCCATGGCTGACCTCAGGACCATCTGCACTGACTAGTGCCCCTCCTACCCCCCGGTTCAGACTGATCAGTGGAGACCATGAGGGGGCACATCTGAAAAGCTGATGAATGTTCTATTGGGATCTCCCCTAAGGCCTCCAGATGAAAGCCCTCAGGATAGAGGACCCTGCCCAGCTCTCTAAGGAGCTCGCCCATGTCCTTCCCCACCCTCTTCTTCCCCGGGGTGCTCTCTCTCTCTTTTCTCTTTTCTCAAGCACAGTGGTGCCTTTCCTCCCTCTGTCATCTCTCAAGGCAAGTATCTCTCTCTCCCACTAAGCTCCAAGGGCCTTCCTTTTGCCTCTATAACTGACTTCCTGAGCCCATTTCTTCTATGGTTCCCTTCCTCTACCACTCTGACTTTCTAATACACTTTCCCTTATGGTTGGAGTCTCAGCTCTGCATTCTTTCCTAACCAGAACTCAAATGCTGATGCTACTGAACCGAGGTCCAACACCTGGTGCCATTTTTCCACCGTTAACAGAATGAGATTTACTAGGGCAGCACTTCTACTCTCTCTTCCCTGATGAGTGCGTTTGGAAGGAAGACCTGGGCTTGCGTAGCTCTGCCCCTCCGTCTCAGGATCGAGCCGCCCACGGCAAGCTTATGTTCTGCGCTCCTATCTACCATGAGGGGTCTGACCACGCCTCCTATCTACCATGAGGGGTCTGACCACGCTGGCCCTGTGCTGCCTCTGCCAAGGGGAAAGCTGGCCTAGGCCTGAGATCCTGTGACAGGAAATGGATTTCACCAACGTACAAGCCACATTCTCCAATACTTGCTTTGTTGATAACAAAGGCAGTGTTGCCGCTCCATTTACTCATTCATTGTCTTTTTTAATTGGCTCAGAACCTGGTGAGGGAAAAGAGGGTGTTATATGTTGACCCCGTCAGAGCCCAGGAGCAGTGTTTGCAGAAAGAGAATTTGCTCTGTATCTGGCTGGCTTGGGAGTGGAGCAAAGAAGCCAAAATCCCGGTGGAATCTATTCCTTTAATGAACTGCAGAACCCTCTTCTTCCAAGGCTGGATCACAGAGGCCTGCCCAGAGGCAGGGGGATGGATGAGAAGACCTCTTTGCGAGTGGTGGGGGTGGTGTCCCCACTTAAGCAACATAAGTACTCTTGGGCAGACCTATCATATGAAACCCAACCAAAGGGATAAAGGAGAAGCCAAGACAATGCAGTGCCCTTGTACCCACTACAGAACCTCTGAAAGACCACCATCCACACCTGATTTCCTTCCATTCTTGTTTATTCTGTGACTCCTTAAATCAAAGTCAAACACCAAAATGTGAAATACAGTGCAATTTATTGAGAAAGGAAAATACGACACAATCATCGCCAGAGGATCCACAGCTAAGGGAATTAAGGGGACAGAGGTAAGTCAAGATGTGATGCCCAGATGTGGGGAAGGCACGTTGGGAACCAACAGGCCAGAGATCCTGACCATCCACCCTCTAGCCCTGGCCCTGCTGTACCGCCCTCCACAGGCAGGGCTGAAACACTCCAGGTTCAGACCATCAACCCCCAGTGAGAGAGGGAGATGGGCCAGAGTGGGATCAGGCCAGGCTGGGAAAGTCCACACTGATTTTGGCTCAAATATTGTTGTCCAAAGCCAGGGGCCATCACAGGGTCACATCTAGGGACATCATCATCCCAGACTAGCAGCTGGCCCTCCCTGGCCTAGGAGACATCTTAGGGAGGGAGGATCCAGGAAGAAGTTCAGCCCTTACTCCAGGGAACTTGAAGAAAAGTAAGGTTGAGGTCGGCGTCTGTTGATGCTAAGCAGAGAGTGGAAGTGCGGTTGCAGGCTGAGAAGGAAGCAGGTGGGCATGGAGATTTGGCCCTGGAGGATCACTTGGAGCTGTGCTGGCTAGAGGTGGGGGTCTGGGAGAAGCGGATACTGGTGCTGCCTCCACTGCCAGATTTGTAGCCACTGCCTCCAGAGGACTGGATGCCACCGGAGCCAGAACCAATTCCACTCTGGCTCACAGAGCTGCTGCCTCCATTGCTGGGCCTGCTGCCAGTGCCGCCGCTCTGGTAGCCCCTGGTGCCGCCGCTCTGGTAGCCCCTGGTGCTGGCACTCTGGTAGCTCCCCGTGCCGCTGCTGACACCACCATAGCCACTGCTGTTGCCATCGCTTACTCCTCTCTGCCCACTGCTGCTGCCGCCACTGACCCCTCCAAAGCCTCCACGGCTTCCACCAGAGCTGCTGCCTGTGCTGGTGACGTTGCTGACCACCGCTGCAGGAGAACAGACATCAGTGCAGTCTAACGGCCTAGTCTGTATCCCAGCTCCCCCCTCCCCCGCCCCTTGACTGTGTGACTTAGAGAAAGACACTCAACTTCTCTGAGGCCTCCGCTGGTAAAAAACAAGAGTAAGCCTGGCCCTGTGGTGCCCTTTTCCAAAAACAAGAGCCAGCAGTATCCACAGAAATTTTTGTTTCTCCAACCTAGGGAACTCCCAAGAACACAAGGGTGTGCCAGTTTACACTAGTGACAGAGTGTGTGGCCAAGGCCTGAGACCCTAGGTCCCATTTGGTGGCCTGGCCTCCTTGCATGGGTCAGATTCTCCTGCCTAAAAGTCAGGGAAGATGTTTCTAATTCCTCCTTTTACAACCCAGGAGAAGGTTTGTGAAGGGCTACTTACAAATGCTCACAGCACTCTGACACTCTCCAGACATCCTAAAAATAAAGAAGAAAAGGAGAGGTGGATTATTTCTGCAATGAGTCATTAGCAAAACTGCTGAGGGTTCATAACTTTGGGAGCCACATTCTCCCATTTGCCCAACTAAGGGTCACGTTCCCAGGGGAAGAAAGGCTGTTTCCATGACCAGATCTCCCTAGGAAATGGGGCTGCTTCAGGGGCTGAGATGTCCAGAAACTCCACCAGCCACCCTCCATCGCTCAGCTTCTTCCCCTGAGTTCCCAGGATTATCTGTTCCAGGCAAATCCCACTTGATTAGCCCATTCTCACCTCTCCTCCCCTGCTGAGACTGTCTTCCACTTTCCCCCTTCTCTACCCAACTCTGGCTTTTTTATTTCTGACTTTCCTCTTCCACGAGGCCTTCCCCAGTGAGCCCTCCTGGGGTGGGCAGGTAGTGATGACGAGGGTTGCTCAAGGTGGGTAAAATGTGAGAGGAACTGACACTCCACACATGACGACTTTGAAAATGTCCTGCCCACACCGCCCATCTTCCTGGGCCTCATTCTGGTTCATGGAGTGGGCACGTCCACATATCTAAGCCGACGTGGAATGTGTCCGCACACCCACCCACTGGTGTCGACCACTCCCTCCACATCACACAACTCCCAGTACACCTAGCACGACCTTCGCTCTCACTCCGCTCCATAGAGAGGCATAAGAAATCCTTATGTTCTCTTCTCACACTTGAGTTTGTTTCTCCTTCAGATTGGGAGCTGCCTAGGGACAGAGGCTGTGAACATGGGCTGCCTGGAGCAGCCAGTCAGCAGAAAGACCTCTCAACTCTTGACATGTCTTTGGCATTTGATATCCACTCACTAAGCCCTTACCTGCTGCTTGATATTGAGTTATTTTTCCAGAATATGTATGTATCAGCCACCCCCTTATATGGACTTAGGCTCAAGGGCGGGCAATTGCAGAACTGTCTACACTAAGCTGTCCATATGGTAACCACTAGCCATATAAAGATATTTAAATTTATTCAAATAAATCAGATTTAAATCTCAGTTCCTCTGTTGCACTAGCCACATTTCAAGTGTTCAAACAGCGAATGGCTATTGTATTGGGCAGCACAGATACAGAAGGTTTTCATCATCTCAGAAAGTTTCAGTGGACAGCACTGTAATGTTTTTGTAATCCCAAAGCACTTCTCCTTACACTTCACACATAGTAAGGATCAACAGAGGAATGTAATACAATACTGATATCCGTGGGAAGCTGAAGAGTTGGATGATCTTGATTAACAAAAGCTAATGGGACTTGAATGTTAAATGCTGTCAGTGAGGAGCTTCTTTTACCCTTTGTCTGAGTTGTCCTCTCCTTATCATCTAGCCTTCTTCCTTCATTATCAAACATTACTCCAAAATTATATTGGGAATGCTGACTGCACTGCCCCTCACCTGCACTCCTCGCCCTCCAGCAGCTTGCAGTAGGTGGCGATCTCCACGTCCAGCGCCAGCTTGACATTCATCAGCTCCTGGTAGTCACGCAGCAGCCGGGCCAGATCATCCTTGGCCTTCTGTAAGGCAGCCTTTAAGCCTTCGAGCTTGGCATTGGCATCTGTGAGGGCCATCTCCCCACGCTGCTCAGCTTCGGCAACGGCTGACTGAAGATTGGCATTCTGGGGCAGAGGGAAGTAGGAGCTCAATTAGCATAGTGACCAGGAAACAAACAGCTGACCTTTCCTGAGAGGAGGTCTCTTCCCCATCCAGCATCACTTCATTCCCTTCCTTAGAAATTCAATGGATCATGCTGAGAAAATAGAAGTCAGTTTTGCAAGTGGTTTGTTCATCTCTGGCCCATTGAAATTGACTATGTCTCATCAAGAAAATAAACACTGATTTGCTTGTAAAGGTGTTAGTGGTCTGGTGTGTGGTTCTTTTTGGTAAGACTGTTTAAAAATTCCCTTGCCTAATCATTTCATTCCAGTGATACAAATTAACCATCAAGGTTATGTGAGGTATATGACACATAGCTCAGAGAGCAGATCCTACTGAGAGCTGGGTGTTTAAGGCCACCTCTACCGTTGCAAGATTTGCTGGGCAAACCAGAACAGGCAGTCATCTCTCTTAAGGGGACTTCCAGAAGACCAGCCTCCTGGAGGAGCATCTGGAGAAACAGAATGTCCCAGAGACTGTGCTATCCCACATGTGACACCATGAAAGGACAGAGAAAGCATGCGGCAGAGGCACAGCTGTTGTTTCTCCTCCCCAGAGCTCAGAAGACCTCCAGAGTGTCTCCATTAATCCCAGGCCCACCTGCTTCTTGACGTTCTCAATCTCGGCCCGCAGCCTCTGGATCATCCTGTTGAGCTCCATGATCTCGCTCTTGGTGCTCTTCAGGTCGTCCCCGTGCCTGCCAGCAGTGGTCTGCAGCTCTCCAAGCTGGCAGAGGAGAAACCAATCAACACGGTTTTGCAAAGTGTGGAAGCATTCTTGATGAAGGTCAGCAGGAGCTAAAACTAGAATGTGGGGATAAGGGGAAAGCTCCCACCTTGGTCTGGTACAGGGACTCAGCTTCAGCCTTGCTCCTCTGGGCGATGTCCTCATACTGGGCCTTGACCTCAGCGATGATGCTGTCCAGGTCCAGGCAGCGATTGTTGTCCATGGACAGGACCACAGACGTGTCACTCACGTGACTCTGCATCTGGGACAGCTCCTGTGAGAAACATGGATGGTCATCTTCACTATCCCCTGGCCCCAGGGGATGTTGGGAATGAAAAGATTCAAGAAATTTGATCAGCAGAGATATCCCAACAGTGGGGCCAGGAGTGAGACAGTTAGAATAAGCTTGCATTTCAGATCTGGCTACAGACTAAAGGAGGCCAGACAACAAAGCTAAAGGAAAAAAATATATGCAAATATAATCAGGTGTCAGCCTGAAAGTATCAGCCAGTAGCACACTGTATGCACAGGGAGGAGCACACTGAAGGAGCTGGCTGCGATACTCACATAGGAGCAGAAGGAAGGTGCAGAACAAAAGGGGAAAGTAAACAGACGGGGAGGGGGGACCCTGGACCTGCCCGCCAGGTCTGTGCAGGTGGGGGAAGCCAGGTTAGCATTTCCTGGGAAGGGTGGAGCCGAGTTCTGAGCCCTATCATTGCTTTTTGTGTATGTTCTGCCACCTGACTGTCCCCTAAAGTTACACTTGAGAAGCAAGTTTGGGAAGATGCAGACAAGAAGGCTCTGGAGCTTGGCAAACCAAGGAATCACCATCTCATAGAGGGTCCTCAGGAAGTTGAGCTCATCGGTCAGGCTGTCCGCCTTGGCCTGCAGCTCTGCCTTGTTCATGTAGGTCGCATCCACGTCCTGGGGCAGGGAGGGAAGGGTGGTCAGGAAACCAGGAAACTGACCCTCTGCTCCCCTGCCACCCAGAGCTCATTCCTAAGTTTTTATTTCTCCCTGTTGTCCCTCTTCTGCCCCTCCTCCTAACTGTGACTTCTCACCTTCCCTTTTAAAAAAAAAAAGAAAAGGTAGTTAACTTCCTGTTAATTGCTTTGACGAGCCAAACCCCAATGCTGTGACAAACTATAAACCATATCAGCCCAGCAAGGAATAAGGGTAGAAAAAGCACATTTATCTAATATGTGACTTTGGTTATATGGTACCAAAAATCCACCTTCCTGAATAGAAATAAAGGTATTCTTCTCACTACTTCGTCTGTGTGACCGATTTAGACAAGCAACAAGTATTTGTGGATCGTTACTATTGATAAAATCCAAGTACATTTGTGGGCTGAAAACCTTGATTACTGCTATATAAAAAATGTTCCTTAATAGTTGGTATCACTAATCAGCTCATCATTCATAGTACAATATGTCTTCTCCAGCAGCAATGCAGTCGGAGCAGCTTCCTTCAGCAAACACCTCCTTTCCCAACGTGAGCCCCACACGCGGCATAGGCTCGCTGTGCCCCAGAGCTGGCTCTGGCCTCTCTCCGTGGTGACTGTGCCCAGACAGGGAGCCTTGGCCTGTCCATCCCAGCCCACTTACCTTCTTGAGGCCCACAAACTCATTCTCTGCCGCAGCGCGTTTGTTGATCTCATCTTCGTACCTGGGACGGGAAGAGGCACACACTTGGACAGTGACATTTCAGAAGTTAAAAAAGAGACGAGGATCCCAAGCACCCATGTGAATCTCCTCACTCAGAGGCAGGACAGCTACACAGGGCCCTGGGCTCAGGTGGTCCTCACACGAGGCTTAATGCTCTGCTGACACCATCTTGAAATTCTTAATAATATTTTTAACAAGGGCCCTGCATTTTCGCTTTGCACTGAACCCTCAAGTGTTTATGGCCAGTTCTGCCTAAAGGCCTTCAGAGCTCTGGGCACTGCCGCCTCCTCCCCAGGCGGGGTGCTGGCTCTGACAGACATCACACAGCACAGCGTGTGCGGATGAGGCCCAGTCAGGTATTTGCTCACGGTAGGTGTTTCTGTTTTTCTTCTCATTAATTAGAGTTGCTCCTTATAGGAATTTGGGATAAAAAAGAAGTCATGTCTTCTGAATGCACCAAAGTTACGAGGCTCGTGCCTATTAATAACTAAAATCTCCTACTGAGAGTTTGGATTTCATGACAATGAAAGACTAGAAAAGCTGTTTCTGAGCAATTAGAATATGAGTTGCCACTGGATTCCCAGAGCCAGGGCACACAGCCTGCCACAGACGGCTGCCACCAGGTTCGTACATTTGAATTGGAATGGGGTTTCCCCCGAGCAGGTGTGCCCATCCTGTGGGTCCTGACCTCTGAGGGTCTCTGGGGCTCCCTTCCCACCTTGAGAGGCCCTGTGTACCTCTCACAGACCTCAGAGGATGTCAACAGCCCCGAACTGCATGAGGAGGCTGACTGAAGCTGCAGAGGCAGGGGATGGGGCCAGACACACTGCAAGTGATTTAAATGGGGGCCCGGACAGTCTGCCCAGAGTCCCTGGAACCCAGGGGGCACTCAGACTTCCGGGACCTGCGCACGCCCACTGAATCCGGATGTCTAGGACTAGAGCACAGGAACATGCACTTCTGACAAACTTCCAAGAGGACTCCTACATACAGTAAGTGTGTAGGGCTCTCCATCCTAAAGGGCCTCAAACTCTGGAAGACGCTCCTGTCCGTCGGGGCTGGTGTAGGAGGGGGCCTGCCTAGAGACTGATTATGTCATAATCAGCCTCCTAGGAATCGCAGTCCCCACCCTCTCAGCCCCTTCTGCTTGGTCATGTTCCCCCAACAATTCCATCCAAGAGCATTGACTGGAGGTGCAGTTGGGAAAAGTTAAAATCCCGAGTTGGGCCATGCTTCCCTGCTAATCCCCCAGAAAAAGAAACTGCCCAGTGGGCCCTCACTTCTTTTTGAAGTCTTCCACCAGGCCCTGCATGTTCTTTAGCTCTCCTTCCAGGCTCCCCTTCTCCCCCAGAGCCAAATCCAGCTGCCTGCGCAGGAAGCTGATGTAGGATTCGAAGAAAGGCTCCAGGTTGTGGGGGCCCGAGCCGGAGCCCGTGGTCTGCTGCTGGAGCAGATTCCATTTGGTGTCCAGGACCTGGTTCTGCTGCTCCAGGAACCGCACCTGCCGCCAAAGGGTAGAGATGTGGGACATAAGCCCAGTTCTCTAAAACTACAGTAGCCTCTGGTTCTTCGTTGTTGTTTGGTTGGGTTGGGTTTTTTGTTTCTGTTTTTGTTTTTGTTCGCAAAGAATGAGGATTTTAAAAAAAAGAGAACTAGAATGTGTTAAGCATTTACTCTCTACCTATTTTCACATAGTCTATCTCATTTAATCCTCACAACCATCTATAAAGAAGATGTTATTATCCCCATTTTGTAGATTAGGAAACTGAGGCTCAAAGAGCTTAATTAGGTTGCCCAAAATTATGTAGCTACTAAGTAACAAAACTAAGAGTCAAACCAAGCACTTCCTTCATCTATCGGGATCCTTCATAATACAACAAAAGGAGGGCAGCATAAATAAAGTCATTCATCGTTGAAAACTTGTTCCTCTCTCTACAGGCAATGAAAACCGTCAGTGAGGTCTAAGTGTTCTCAGGTTCTTTCAGATTTTCTTTAGACTTACAGGTAATCTGAGTTTAACTTTCAATCCCAGGTTCATCCCCCAGACCAAGCACACTCCCCTGTCCCAGCATGGACCCCTCAATTTAATAGCGGCAGAAGCACAGCACCATTCAGAAGGTGAGTCAGTTGCCAGCACTCATCACTGAGACATAGTCCCACGATTTCTGCTAGTGAAATTTTAATTATCAGCTAGTTTAGATTATCAAGCAATTGCTTTTCGAGAGTAATTGAAAATGAGCTGTGATGGTGCCATGGCTAAATGCCCTATTCTTAACAACAGCTAAGATCATGTTTGGACCCTCACCTTGTTTTTCCTGGTCCTGCCCCTAGAAGGGGCCCAAAGAGCAGAGAGGCAGACTCACTATGTTGTAGGGGCCAAGGCACAACCAGGACAAGAAGCCACATTCCTGCCTCTAAGCCAGGCAGATCCTACTGGCATCTTTCTATATACCAGCACCCTGGGCAGCCCAAACCCTCTACGACACCCCTGGCTCTTCCCTCACCTTGTCGATAAAGGAGGCGAATTTGTTGTTGAGGGTCTTGATCTGCTCCCGCTCCTGGGTCTTGACTTGCCCAATCTGAGGGTCGATCTCCACATTGAGGGGTTGCAGGAGGCTCTGGTTGACAGTCACTTCCTGGATTCCCCCAGGGAAGCCACCAGGGCCAATGCCACCAGGCCCACCAAAGCCACCAATTCCACCAAAACCACCAGCTCCTCCAAAGCCACCGGCTCCTCCAAAGCCACCAGCTCCACCAAAGCCACCAATTCCACCAAAACCACCAGCTCCTCCAAAGCCACCAGCTCCACCAAAGCCACCTCCCATTCCCCTGCCACCACCAAAGCCACTGCCACAGCTGCTACGCCCTCCCCCAAAGCCACCAGTCCGAGAACCACCAGCCACGCTGATGGAGATGCTCCTGTTACCACCCAGGTTGTAGAGGCTGCGACTGCCAAGGCCCCCTGCCCCACTCTGGAACCCACAGGCCCCTCCGCCGGCTCCCCCCGAGCGGGCCACACAGCTCATCCTGCTGCCGCCGGAGACCACGGCAGAGCGGCCGGAGAAGCCCTGGCTCCCGCTGCTGAAGGATTTCTTGCAGACTTGTCTGTTCATGGTGAGAGCTTGGAGGTGAGCTAGCAATCACTTAGCAGAAGCTGAGAGGGATGAAGGCAGAGGATGGGGACGACAGGGGAGACTGGCCTTTATATACCAAGCAGTTTGGCTTGGCAGAAGAAAAGGCCAGCAATTAGCTGAGAGTCATCTTGGGTTTGGTTTGCCTTCCAGGCAATAAGTTATTTCTAAGTTCCCAACACACCTCAAAAATAATCCTCTGAACCAAAATGATTTTGCTTTCTTAGCTTAATCACCCAAATTTGCCTTGGTTAACAAAAGACGGGAGCTCTCCACCCTCTCTTCGTGTGATTTCCTCAAGGGTCTTAGGGAACTCAAATGGCACCTGATGCAGCAGGATGGATTAGGTTTTGACCCCAGGGAATCAAGAGCCACTGAGATCCATGACACAGGGTGAGGATGAGAGAACCTCTTCCAGGTGGGCTGAGTCCCTCCCTGCAGTGCCAGAGTGCCACTGCCCAGTGACATGACCTGTGCCCACCTCTTCAGAGAAGTATCCAGAGGAGGGCTTGGGCTGGAGAGGGGGTGAAACGTGCACTGACCCCACGGGGTCTGCTCTAGCACCACCTCAGCCAAGGGCTTCCATTTAAACCAGCCTGCTGTTTGAGCTGAGACGTGCTGCTCGTGGGAAACACAAGTGGAGATCAAATGTCTGACCCATGGGGAAAGTGAGAGCCATAAATGAAGCAAACAAGAGTGAGGCTTGGGAAGAAGGAGGGGACAAGGGCAGGGAGGAGGCTCAGACCAAACCTCTCTACTACCATCCTAGACCAACAGCAGGTGACTCTGGATCCAGAAGCAAAGAGGAGAGAATGTGGGCGTCCTTCCGTTGGCTGGTGGCACCAGCTCAAAGACCGCATTCATCTTAAGGTAAGAGTGTGTGCTGTGTCAGATCCGGTGGCCTTGGGATCCCCTATCCCCTTCGCCACCTGGTCTAGGTTAGATAGCATTCCCTGTCTTCCCACCACACCCTGTTTTTCCCACCGTGGCCCTGACTTAGTGTGTATGTATCTGTTCATTGGTCAGTATCCCTCTAGGCCCTGAGCTCACTGAAGGAAGGAACTGAGTCCTACTCATTCAGGAACTGCAGCTTCTTGCATAGGGTAAACACACACAAGTGTGTTAGCTGACTGAGGACCAGTGTCTGAGAATGTAAATATCTAGACTCACGTCCCAGCCCAGTGTTATGGAGTGAACATCTTCAGAGAAAGGGCTTGAGTGTCTATATTTTTAACAGGCCTTCCAAGTACCTACAACCAGGGAGGTTGGGGAAGCCCAGGTCTGGACTGTGAGTGTTCCATCTGGGCTGGGTAGTGGGGGAGGCAGGGGCGGAGGGCCTGGTGGAAGAGTGTGTGTACGGACACATTACTGCTCTAACTTACAATGCTCAGCTGTCCCCCATCCCCATGCAACCCACCTCCACACTCAACCATGCCACACATGGCAAGAGAAAATGCTCAGGTTGTTATCCACACACGGGGCTTCACAAGGTATGGCAGGAGCAGAGGGGAGTGGTTCTAGACTCCCCCAGAAATAGGTGGTTGGAATAACTCGAGAATTCCAGTCAAATCTGCAGCAAGCCCTTTGTCTTCCCGGGCTGGTTCCTAGACAAGGCAGTCTAGGGCAGAGGGTTGGCCTAAAAGACCCTGAAGAACCTCGTTAAGCAATTTTAAGTGATCTGCAGCTAATTCTCAATTCTCTGCTCTGCAGTTTGTCTAGAGCCAGTCTGTATGGTTAGAATCCCAGTTCCACCACCCACTAGCACTTTGACCTTGGACAAGTTATACAACTTTTATGTGTCTTGGTTTCCTCAATTATAAAATGGGGATGATAATAGCAGGTACTTCGTGGGGTTGTTGTGAGCATTCAACAAGTTAATTAAATATAAAGGGCTCAGTAGAGTAAGAACTGCATGTTTAGCTAGTGCTAGTACTCCATTTGGAGACATGGGGAAAGGGAATAGCTTACGTCTGTCCTCGACTATTCTCAAAACAACTTTGCATCCCTGAGAAACTCACAAAAGGATGGTAGGGAAAGGAAGCTGAGTTTGAGTGGAGAATAAGAAAACCAAGCTGGGAGAGTAGAGATAAGACCTCTGCTAGGATGGATTTGGGTTGACCGGCCCTGGGCTGTGATTTAACACATAAGTCTGTGTTCTGATCTGTCAAATCTCTTCTACCTCATCGATTGGTGGTGAGTCTCACAGGATAAATGCACGCGAAAGTCCTTTGAAAATTACAAAGTGCCACACAAGAGTAAGGTAAGTGAGGTCTAACAAAAAGCCTGCCGCCATGGTCTTCAGAAGACCTGGGTTCATATCCCTTGTCTACCTCTCACCAGATGGTGACCTCAGACAGGGGCCTTGACTTCTTTGAGCTGCTTTTTCCTTATTTGTAAAATGAGGATTCTACCCCACTGGCAGGCTTGTTCTGATATTTAAATAATGTCCAGCAACCAAGGTTTGGATTTTTAAAAAATTTTATCCATCCAGACACCCATGAAGGGGAGTCTGTGTTGGGTTCTTCTTTGGGATATTTACTCCATCCATTAATTGAGTGCCAATCTCTCTCGCTGAGGTCTTTATTTATATTCTTTGAAATCCTTTAAAAGCAGATCAAATGCCCTCCCTGGGGAAAAGGCTGAGCCAGGCTCACCTGAAGCCCCAGGCGAGAGCCCAAAGCAAACAAGGACAGACATCCGTGTCTCTGACGCCCTTCCTTTCCCTCGGCTCGTGCTGAGGCAGCAATGTCCGCCTCCTCGTGGGGCTCATCTTCACCCCAGCATACGCTGGAGAAGAGGGCTGGAGAGAGGCAATGGGCAGATCACAAAAGCACAGTTTGGGTTGGGTTCCCCTAATCCACGTTTCCCGAGCCTGCCAAAGCATCACCTTATTTAACCGGTTGGGGTTGTTTTCTTAGCAGTCGAGTGAAGCCGCTGAAAATACCCAGAGCTAGCATCCTTGGCAACATTTTTCTTACTCACTGCAGGATGTTAGTGCAGTGGCGTCTAAATGGGCTGCCTGCTGCCATCAGTCTGAGTGCTAGTCACTCGCCTGCCAGAACCTTCTGTGAGAAGGTTGCCAAGTGGCCGAGTGCTCTGGGTCCCTATTTCTTCATCTATAAAATAAGGGGAATTGTCACCAAGCAGAGTTATTTCCTCTCGCCACCTTGTTGTCTGGTACTCGCTGCAATGAGAATGCATAAGAGTGGCCTGTAACGGAAGTGTGAGTGGAGGTACCGTGAGACAGTGGCCGAGGGTGAAGGGGTGAGAGTTACATGCTCCTTCATACATGTGGGTTCACAGACCCAAGTTTCTAGATCATTATTAATTTATTCTCCCAAAAAAGAAAAATGAATAACCATTCCGGATAGGCTGCCCCTGGACTAAGAACTATTATTATTTTCTCCTTTTTATCGTGTTAACGTAAATACTTAACACTACTGAGATAACATCATTTAACACATGAATAGAAAAAAATATTACCTTGTAGAGCTAGCTCCCTTACAGCTAAAGCCTGTTTAAAAGTAAACTAAATCCGCCCTGGCCAGCGGGGCTCAGTGGGTTGAGCGTTGTCCCATGCACCACAAGTTCACCCATTCAAATCCCGGTCAGGACACATACCCAGGTTTCAAGCTCTATCCCCAGTGGGGGACGTGCAGGAGGCAGCATATCAATGTTTCTCTCTCTTCTTCTCCCTCCCTCTTCCTTACTCTCTCTCTAAAATCAATAAAAACATTTTTTTTTTTAACGTAAGCTAAATCCTTTAGTTACTAAGTCTTAGCTGTTAGCAACCACAATTTATTCTAATTCTGGTCTTCTCTCCAGACTTGGTTAAAATATACTTCAACTCACCCTTAAATCCTTACCTGGTACTAGATTCTTTCTTAGGGCTTGTCTAAGGCAAAATTATATCCCCCCAAGATTGCCTTGATTAAAAGGTCTGTGGTCAAATAAATTTGGGAAATAAAAAGTCTAGCCCTGGCCGGTTTGGCTCAGCGGTTAGAGCATCCGCCTGCGGTCCGGAGAGACCCGGGTTCGGTTCCCGTTAAGGGCATGTACCTCGGTTGCAGTTTGTCCCCGGCCCTGGTTGGTCGTGCGGGTGGCAGCCACTCGATGTGTCCCTTTCACATCGATGTTTCCCTCTCTCTCTCTCTTCCGCTCTCTCCCTCCCACTCTATCTGTGCAAAAAATGGAAAAATGTCCTCGGGTGAGGATTAAAAAAAAAAAAAGTCTATATCTTTCTCTTGGGATTTTTTTTTTTTTTTTTTTTTTTTTTTTTTTTTTTTTTTTTTATCCTCACCCGAGGACATTTTTCCATTTTTTGTTCAGGTAGAGTGGGAGGGAGAGAGAGGAACAGAGAGAGAGAGAGAAACATCGATGTGAAAGGAACACATCGAGTGGTTGCCACCCGCACAACCGACCAGGGCCGGGGACAAACTGCAACCGAGGTACGCGCCCTTAGCGGGAACCGAACCCGGGTCTCTCAGGACTGCAGGCCGACGCTCTAACCGCTGAGCCAAACCGGCCAGGGCTCTCTTGGGATTTTAATAAAGCTCATTCACATATGAAAAGCACTGAGAAGTCCTGAGAAAAGGATTATTTATTTTTGTTCAATCAGAGCTCCCCAAATGAACAACAAAACCTTTCTATCTTAACCCCTATTAACATACAGTCAAATACACTTGGAGAAACACTAGTCCAACCACGCACCCAGAATGGAAAAGAACGTGTAGATAGGGCAGTTGGGTTTAAGGCGGCAGGTCAAGGAGAACTGCCTCGTCCCTGGAGGGAGAGCACTCGCCTCAAGAGAGAGAGACAGAGGACGCTGCCAGCACACTAGGCCCGCAGGCTGCAGAAGCCCCGAGAAGAGCTCTGGGAGGCTGGAAAATGGGGAAGGCCCCTGAGGACCAATTCTCCTGTCAACGTTTATTTCTCACCAGCCATAGATCTTGCTGGGACTTTCCAAAAGCCATCGACCTTCCTCCAGGGAGCACCGCAGGGAAGAGGCCTCATCCCTTCCCATTGACATGCTGGAGTTTCTGGAACTCAAATGACAGCACCTCCTCCCACCCTTTTTTTGCAGCTTAGAGGAGTGGAAAACGTGGGGGCCTTGGAGTTGGGCTGTGCTCAAAGCTCAGCCTCTCCACTTTTCAGTTACATGGCCTCCAGGAAGCTGTTTTACCCTCAGGCCTCCGTTTTCTGGCCTGTAAATTGGGGTTAGCGTAGCCTCCCCATCGGACTGCAGGGAGGACTGCAGAGAGTAGCATTAGAAAGCTCTTGCGCTGGGCAGGTGCCAACAGACAGCCAGCCTCACGATGCTAATGTTGATGGACGAAGCCCTTCTAGAAGTTGTCAGTTTGGAGGCTGAAGAGGAGGGAGGAATTCTAAGGGGTAGCCCAGTTTAAGGTCAATGCAGCATTGAAGTCTGGTTTCTGCATAAAATTGTAAGGAATCGCAGCTTTTGCACTGTGAGTTACATAAAAGCCTTTCTCCCCTGCCAGTTTCCCTCTCCAGGCTCATCAGTAATGCAGGCCATCAATCAACAAATGTGTATTGAGTTACTGCACACCTCTCAGAATTATGGGCACTATGGTTTAGTGAAAATAATTTCCTCTTTCAAATCTTTGCTTCATTCCCATCTGTGAAAAATATATATAAATGGCTAACATTGATTGAGTGCCTGCCATTATGCCCATTGAATTAGGCTATTTACAAGTATCATTTCTAGGTGTCATAAAAAACTGTGTAAGGTCAGGATTTTGATTCCCACCTACAAATTAAGAACGAGCTTAGTGAGGTTAATTAACTTGCCCCAAACCAATTAGCTGACCGAGCTGGGATTTTAATCAGCCTATCCAACTCCAAAACCTGTCATAAACTCATGGATCATTTTTACCTTTGTAGGCTTCGGCAAGTCAGCGTACACTATCCCAGAGGGAAGAGTCCACTCTGACATTTAAAGAGCCCACCCATAGAATGTGGTAGGCAGATGTGCCTTGAAGCATCAACTGTGTTAATGAAATAGGTTTAAACCTACAAATTCTTCTCTGGCATCAAAGAGAAACACCCATCATTATCAAGGTATTTCCCTCCATCAATCCCTCTGACTTCTCCGCTGAAGATCAGATCTCTCCAGAGTTGATGGTGGCCCACCCACCCTCACAGGGCCTCTGCTGGAGAAACCTCTCCTGCTAATATAGGAACTTCAAGTTTGGCTTCTGGCTCCTCAAGATTCCAGAGAGTTGTTAGCACCATGTGCCAGAGCTGGCGCACAAGAAGGCAGCCAGGAGGCTGAGAAGAAGTCGGCCGGCCCTGTCCAGCAGCATAGCACAGTGGTTACAGTGCAGGCTTTGGATCTGAGGCCCCGAGCTGCCACTTCCTTTCTGATGCCAGACATGCTCGTGGTACCCTGTCTCTAAGCTCCAGTTTCCTCATCTGGAAAACGAGGATAATTACTACCTGCCTCCTATGGTGATCGTGAGGATTAAAGGAGATGACGTGCAAAATGTCCAGTGTATGACTTGCCACCAGTAAGAACCGGAAAAAAGGTTAGCTGTTTAATCGTGTTGTTAAATATGTCAGGACAGCAGTTGCATTTAAGTCGCCCCTGTCCTCTGCAAGTATCTCCTTAGCTCAGTGGCCTTCAGAGTGCCTAGTGTGTGCCAAGCACTGTGCTGGACACTGAGAGGCACAAAGGGGAGGAAGGCATACAGGGCCCTTCAAGCCACTTCCATTCTAGTATGGGGAACAGACACTGAAATCCCAGATTAGGGCCCAGGCATACAAGTCAGCATTATTCAACATTTCTTGAGTTTTCTCTGTGGGCAAAAACATGCCTTAGAGGACAGGACAAGAATGGACAAACCAGCACCAATTTGCTCCCCACTCAAAGAAAAATCTAGCCAAGTACCAGAAAGCAAACCCAAGCCCTGCAACCACTGAAAAGCACTTGAAAAGTCAACATGCTGAGAAATTCTGTAAATGCGGAGGTGAAAGGAAGGGAAGGCGCACTCGGAACCAGGAGCCCTCCCCGGAGGTGCTTCAGCCTGAATTAGAAATGATCAGGGCTGGGCTGAGAACATCCAGCCAAGCATGGAATTAACTCCTTCAGTCCCAGGTTCTGGCATCAAGCGCCCCTGCCTAGCCATTCCTCTGGCGTGACAACACCTAGAGATGGCCCTCTCCATGGTGCCACTTCTCCTGAGACACACTACCTACCCCTGGCGACTCTCTCCTCTGAGAAGTTGCATGGATCCCCACCCCCCCCCACCCCCGCCACTAGAGGGCTACTTAGGTAATGGGGGGAGGGGTCGCTCTGAAACCCCCACAGAACGAACAGGGGCAGCGGGCACTGGCTGGAGTACAGGGAGGAAGAGCAAGGCGGGAGGTCTGAATGTGTGCCTTGAGATGAGTGCTCGGTGTCCCAAGGAAGACTGGGCCTGTTCTGGGTTTCCCTGGGAACCCATTTAGAAACCCTTGACCTCTTAGGCAGAGGCGTTCTGGAAAACACGGACCAAGCTCTACCGCCTGGCTGACTGCCCTCCTCTCCCTCACCCTGAATGCTGGGCTTCCTTGGAGCTCAGCCTGGGCACGCCTCTGCTCCTCTTCCAGGAGAACTCATCAGTTCCATGGCTTTAGGGACCACCTGAACTATCCTCACACTGATGGTATGCAAAGGTGGGTCGCCAGCCCTGACCAGCCCCCCTATGAATCCACACCCACATCGCCAATTCTCCCTGGATATCTCCACTCGCTGTCTCTGAGCAGCTCAGACTTGTCTTAAACAAGCTCCTGGTTCCTCAGACCTGTCCCACCTCCTCTCACCTCAGTGAATGGCATCACCAGCCACCTACTGGCTCACTCTAGGAAACTGGGCATCCTGGTTAAATCTTCCCTGTCCTATACCCACCCCCCGACATCAATCTATTAACAAGTCCTGTCATTTCCCCAGTTCAACCCCTGGTTTCTTTTTTTCATACACCTAATCACAACATGACGTTCTTTTATTTGTTTGTTTTGTTGTTGGGCTCTATCATGGAAACAAGAGTAGAAGGCGACCTCTTCTTTTTTATATATTTTTTTAATTTCATTACTTTATTTTTGTTACAGATGTTTCTCCTTTTTCCTCCATTAACACCCTCCTCCCATCCCCACCCCCCTCCCTCCGGTGACATCTTATTTTTGCTCACCAATGCATCTCCAATATTTCGCCCAGCGCCAGAGAGTAGATACTTAATGAACACTGGTTGAAGGAAGGAACTCATTATAATGACTTCATCCAGGGTGACGCAGCTGTCCCATAATTGAGCTGGCACATTCCCATAGAACCCATTCTCAGGCACTGAGCCTCCCCACTTACCTCTCCTTATCCACAGAGGGATACCAGCCAGAAAAAGCATCTTTCTGCCCCCAAATGAGGCAGCAAGTACTAAATCGCACCTCCTTCAAAGAGCCTTCCGGAGATCAGAGTGGAGCTGTCACTGACTGAGCTGCTCCGCCAGACGTGGACATGGATTTCCACACCAATGTCTTCCAGCCCCGGTTGCTGGTTTTCTTTGTTTATTTAACTCATTCCCCTTCTCTGAAATACATTCAGCTTTGGCCTGAGATGGAAGTATTGCTTCCCTGGCCTGGCCTGACGAAGCCTTTCTACTTCATCGCCTGTGTGTCCTGTAGAGGTCCCCAGGCAGCCAGCCACGCCAGGAGGGCAGCAGCGCAGCCTCAGGAACAGGGTGGGGAAGTGGAAGGGGCCCTGGACTTGGATACTTGGGTACCCTGGGCTCAACCTCAGAGGCTCTAAGAGCCTAAACAAGCCACCCCACCTTTCAGAGCTTCCGTCTTCCTGTTTGCAAGTGAAGTTCTTGGCTTCCTTGTTCCCAGGTCCCCTCCAACCCTGACCTTCCAGACAGCACTCCCATGGCTAATTAACACTGTGTCGAGGCTTCCTGGTGCAGGGCAGACGCCAAGAGCTTCCGTGGCTGGTGCACACACCTGGGGGCCCAGAAGGCACACAGACAGTGCTCAGGTGCAGGATGTTTTCTGAGGGTGGTCCATAGTTGTTTATGGAGGGGGGGAGACTTTGGAGGATATGCTGGGTTAAAGACAGCTAACAGGTATTCTTTGCTCCATGACTTCTCAGAACCTCTAATATGGGCTCCAAAGAGGGAAGATGGAAGGGACAGGAAACCCTTTTTTGCAAAGCTCCCAACAGACTAGGGTTCTGTAGGTCTGACTCTGAGGTAGGTGGCTCTCAGGAAATCCCTGCAGCCCTGGGGTTCTAGCAGCTCACACTTTCCCAGGTGCACTTTGATGAGGAAAAGCTTTCAGGATGTCAGCTAGAGTGGGGACAGCATCAAGGAAAGAAGCTCTGTCCCCAAGTCCGTCAACAAGTCATGTCTTCTTAAGTTCCCCCCAGTGAGAGAAAACAAGGAAGAGATGGGTGTGTGCATGGTTCAGCCTTTTCCCTAGAACTGTGAGGCCACACAGCCTCCTGGAGTGTTCCCCTGCCCTTCCCCCAGTGCTCAAAAAAAATGAACACCCAGACCTTGCCCACTTAGATCCCACGCAATGGACGGTGGGGACTAACCGCCGTGGTTCGGGAAGAACAGTGCTCCAGCCGTTCCGAGCGCACACAGCCCACCGTGCTGTGCATGAGAGAAGTCAGCCCAGGCGGGAGAAAGGCGTCTAGAGAGGACTCAGAGGCCTGATGTGAAACACAATGAACTTTATTGGCTACAGAACAGATGGGTCGAGGGGCTGTGTTACACACATCAGAACTGTGGTGACCCTTTCACCCAGGGAGGAGACCCCAAGGGCCACATGTGGACAATCAAATGCACAGGCTGGAGCAACTCTCACAGCTGTGCTGGGCCAGGCATCTGGGTGGAGGAGCATGAGGCTCTTCCAACCCGAAGAGCAGCCGTCTGTCGTAGGGGAGGAGCGGACGGGGACTGGAGGCGCTGGGGCAGCTATGGTGCCCGTGGGCGCTATTTATCTGGAGCAGCGCTGGGAGGACTGCGAGTACTTGAAGCTGCCTCCCGAGTTGCTGCCTGAGCTGAAACCTCCGCCACTGACTCCACAGCGACCCCCGGAGCCACTGCCTCCGCCGAATCCATGGCCTGCTCCCACTCCCACGCCGAAGCCACCACCAAAACCGCTGCCTCCGTAACCGCCTGCGGAGGTCGAGGCCGTGTTGCTGCTGCTGACCACGGCTGCAGGGGAAAGGACGGTACAGCACCTAGTGCTCAGCGCCCAGCGCCCAGGACACTGTATTACAATTGGTGATCCGCTGGGCCCAGGATGATCAAGAGGCCATCAAGGCAGCTTTGCTCCTGATGATCATTATTATTGATACATTCTAATGTCATGAGGTGTTCAGCCCCATAGTGTTAAGGCATCATGAATTGTCCTGTGGGTCCTTCTATATACGGTCAACTCTTGATGATACCCTTGGAGATTAATCATAATTTCTCCCCCCATTAAAAGGCACCCTATTGGATAGTCCCCATGCTATAGACCTATTAATAAGTACCCTGAACCCAGAACAAAAACAAAATTATATCTGCTGCCCCTTCCACCACTTCCAACTTCCATAGAAATCGTTTTTAAATTAGTTGCTACTGCCCTGTATTACTACAGCTATTTCAGCATCAGTTCCCATTGTTATGGTTACTTTGGCTACTTACAGAGGCTGACAGCATTCTGGCATTCTCCAGACATCCTGTATGAGAAAGCAAGAGAAAGCGTCATCACAAAGCAAATTGCCAACAAGTCCATAAATGAAGGTGATGAACAACAACCAGAACTGAATTCAGACGCCTGGTAGATCAGCCCCCTTTTTCCACCCTTCCACGGGCCACAACAAAAAGACCCTGTACACACCAGTGCTTTGACTAACTGTGGAGAGAGTGGGCTAATAAAAACAAGTGCTTCTTGCCCTAGCCGGTTTGGCTCAGCGGTAGAGCATCGGCCCATGAACCAATGAGTCACAGGTTCAATTCCAGTCAAGGGCATGTACCTTGGTTGTGGTTCCTCCCCGGCCCTGGTCAGGGTCATGCAGGAGGCAACCAGTCAATGTGCCTCTCTCTCCCCCTCTCTCCCTCTCTCTCCCTCCTACACTATCTGAACTAAAAAATAAAAAGACAAGTGCTTCTCTGCAAGGCCTGTGGAAGATAGAGGGCACCTCTCTACATTGCAGGCCTCCGGCCCCATATACTTGGTCACTTATCTAGCCCTCAGCATGGGGGTAGATGGGAAGCTGGAAATGGAGACCCACCTGCACTCCTCGCCCTCCAGCAGCTTGCGGTAGGTGGCGATCTCCACGTTCAAGGCCAGCTTGACGTTCATCAGCTCCTGGTAGTCGCGCAGCAGCCGGGCCATGTCCTCCTTGGCCTGCTGTAGAGCACCCTGCAGCTCTTGGAGCTTGGCATTGGCATCCTTGAGAGCCATGTTCCCACGCTGCTCAGCATCTGTGATTGCTGCCTGAAGATGAGTATTCTGGGGGAGGAGGGGGAGGAGAAGGGAGGGGCCAGTAGGAGAGTCTCAAGCTCTCTGAGTCTTAGAATAGATTATCCTAAAACAAGCTTCTTAGGATATAAGAAGGGATGATGGTAATATCATCCCTTCCTTAGCACTTCTATTTTGTCCTCACCCATGGAGCTATTTCCCCTGTGGATTACTAGCCATCTAGACTGCTCGCTTGTTGAACTCCTTGAAAACCAGTGCAGCCGGAGATAACCCTAGAAGTCTATTTTCAGACTGAATCCTGAGATTCTAGCCTCCACCCCTCACCAGTCAGCCCAGGCACTAGCATTTATTACCATCCCACCTGCTTCTTGACGTTCTCAATCTCGGCCCACAGCCTCTGGGTCATCCTGTTGAGCTCCATGATCTCGCTCTTGGTGCTCTTCAGGTCGTCCCCGCGCCTGCCAGCAGTGGTCTGCAGCTCTCCAAGCTGGAGAACAGAAGGGAAGAGGAGGTGTTCATTCAGCTTTGCCTGACTTGTTTCTCTATTCCACACCCACCCAACCTTGAGGTGCTTAGTAAGCATTTGTTAAACTGACATTGAGTTATGTTTCAGCAGGGACACCTCTGAAGCAGCAGGGAAAAGAACATCTGGGTCATCATGAGAGAATGTTCTTCTACCCTACGATCCCTGAGCAAGTCCCATGTATCATGGCGGGAGACAGTGGAACCATATCCCCCAAGGGGCTGCACTTTCTACAGCCAGACAACCAACCATTAGAGGGATGTCTTCAGAGAGTAGAACCACGAGGGATCTACCAAGTGACACTGGGATTCATCACCCAGCAGTCCCACAGGCTTCAGACTCCCTGGGCCCCTCGTTGGATCTTCTGAGAGGTGCCTAGCTCCCACCTTGGTCTGGTACAGGGCCTCAGCCTCAGCCTTGCTCCTCTGAGCAATCTGCTCATACTGGGCCTTGACCTCGGCGATGATGCTGTCCAGGTCCAGGCAGCGGTTGTTGTCCATGGACAGGACCACAGACGTGTCACTGACGTGGCTCTGCATCTGGGACAGCTCCTGCCAACACAGAGGGATATGTTCACTCTCAGGGCCTCTACAACCAGCACACAGAGACCCAGAGAAACTCTTGAGCAACAGTCCAATTCACTGACTCAGCCCTGAATGTGCATCAGCCCCACCATGTCCCCAGCCCCTCAGAGCACCCATGTCTGCAGCCCACCCTGTGGAATCCCAACAAGGCCTTATCTCTAGGCTCAGTCTTTCCAGGCCCTAATACTAAATGCCCTGGCCTCAAATCTGAAAACATCTCACCCTACCTCTCTTTTCCTCTTAGTAAGAAACATCTTTACCATTTCATAGAGCGTCGTCAGGAAGTTGATCTCGTCCACCAAGGCATCCACTTTGGCCTGAAGCTCCACTTTGTTCATGGAGGCAGCATCCACATCCTGAGAAAGACAGAAGCATGAAGGCCTTATTCTCCCAAGGACCAAAGCATGACTGCAGCAAGACAGAGTCGGGAGGACCAGAGCTGGTGATGGACCAGTCCTTGTGTGAGGCTGGTCTCCGCACGAAGAAGTGATTCACATCTCAATGGGGTGTGTTAAGTTCAACCCTGTTCAAAAACTAAAAACAAATAAACTGACTTACTGAGGGATCTTTCCAGACTAAGATGCACCCAGCTTCTGTTTTTTTCTCCACCTGCCTGAACTTGGTGGCTCCGTGGCAGCGGAGTAAGTAAATTCCCTCCACCCCAGCCGGAAATCTGAGCCTACAAGCTCCAGAAACCTCACACACAGCCCTCACCTTCTTCAGGGTCACACATTCATTTTCAGCAGCTGTACGCTTATTGATTTCATCCTCATATCTGTAGAAGTTAAAAAGAAATAACTGAGGTTGGGTTTTGAGGGAGTCATAAACACCACTATTCTCCGAAACACTGAAAATTCATCTCTTCCAGTCCTTTGTCCCTCTCCCAATCCACTTAGATGAACACATCCCTTTTACTATCTTCCTGTTAGTAGGATCAATCATTCCCATTTGTCCAGGCAGACTGTCTCGTTTTTAACAATGAAAGTCCCTTGTACTGGGCAAACCGGGATGGTTGGTCAACACACCATGAGTTGTCCCAGCATCCTTCAGATTCTAGAACCAAGATCTTCTCCAACTTGACATCTGAAGAAGTGCTTCCTCAACTCTACTCTCATCCTGCTGCCACAGTTTTATTTGAAAAGGACTGCCCTTGAGGAGGAAGGCGAGGGGGAACCTAATGAACCAAGCTATCCTCTATGAAGATAAGGAGAGGAAAATAGGCAAAGTGACACCACTGGCCAGCAGACAGAAGGAATGCAGTGAGGGCCGGGACTCTGAGACAGGGTGGTCCATGTCATCCGCCCACTCCTGTCCCTGTCACTCACTTCTTCCTGAAGTCCTCTACCAGGCCCTGCGTGTTCCTCAGCTCCGAGTCCAGGTGGCCTCTCTCTCCCAGGGTGTTGTCCAGGTAGCTTTGCTGGGAGCTAATATAATTCTCAAAAAGGGGCTCAAGGTTGTTGGTGCCTGTGATGGAATCGGTGCCCTGTTGTTGGAGCAGGTTCCACTTGGTCTCCAGAACCTTGTTCTGTTGCTCTAAGAACCGTACCTGCAATGCATTGAGGAAAACAATGTCAGGCAACATTTGTAGCAGAGCATCAGGGGGACCTTGGCTCAGGTAGGATAGGTGTCTGTGTCTCCCCAGACCCCAGCACAAAGGCCTAGAATGAACATGAAGACAGGCTTCTACTGTAGCTGGAGAGGATATGGTCAGACAGTCCCATCGATTGGGCTACTAAGGGTACAGTATAGTTTGGAAAGTTACAGAAGGAGGAGAGATGGGCAGGGAAACTGAAAGGTGCTCCTGCCTGGACACAGAAGTAAAGATGATCCTTCAGTGTTTCTGGGGATTTCATGACTATTGCAACTTCCAAAAATACAGTGCACTCTGCAAAACATGTACTTCAACCTTGCGGCATCATTTCAATCCAAGGCTCCACTGACACTCCAGTCCTTCAAAGGATGTGAGTCACTGGGAACTGATACTGATTGAAATGCCATAATCATCATGACAGGAGAGAGACAGCCAGTGTCAACTATCCTAGTCTGGAAGTCACTGACCACCCCTCTCTTTCTGACAAGGTTGATTAGGGTGCAGATAAGGTTGCCAGCTTCTCTCCAGCCCTTGGGACTAAGGTTCCATATAAACCTCTGTAATCCCTTCTCTAGGGGGCCCACATCCTTTGCCTGGCACAGAGACGTACAGGGAACAGGCCCCGAAAGCCTCAGAGGGCAGCTTATGTTTGAAAAGCTTCTAGTTCTGCGTCAGACCCTTCCTTGCCAGTGGTCGTGGCCCTTGCCGTGTGCTGCCAGCTCTGCCAGCCTAGGCCAGGCTAAGACAACGAGAGAGAGATGTGCGCAGAGAGTCAGACAGGCAGAACTTAGGGATGCCTGGGTCCAAATAGAGGACCACTGTCTTTCCTACTCACACGTTCATGTGAATAAGCTTGTTGGCCCTGGACATCTTCACTGGCCTTAGAATGTTGCCTAACCTCCATCCCCCTCAGCCTGGCCCATCCAGAATTGATCCTAAATACTGTGCCTAAAAGTCGAATTCAAAGTTCCCAGCCTAGAAATGGAGACCCAGCAGAGCTTCATCACCTTGTCGATAAAGAAGGCAAATTTGTTGTTGAGGGTCTTGATCTGCTCCCGCTCCTGGGTCTTGACTTGCCCAATCTGAGGGTCGATCTCCACATTGAGGGGCTGTAGGAGGCTCTGGTTGACAGTCACTTCCTGGATTCCCCCAGGGAAGCCACCAGGGCCAAAGCCACCAGGCCCACCAAAGCCACCAATTCCACCAAAACCACCAGCTCCTCCAAAGCCACCGGCTCCTCCAAAGCCACCAGCTCCACCAAAGCCACCAATTCCACCAAAACCACCAGCTCCTCCAAAGCCACCAGCTCCACCAAAGCCACCTCCCATTCCCCTGCCACCACCAAAGCCACTGCCACAGCTGCTACGCCCTCCCCCAAAGCCACCAGTCCAAGAACCACCAGCCACGCTGATGGAGATGCTCCTGTTACCACCCAGGTTGTAGAGGCTGCGACTGCCAAGGCCCCCTGCCCCACTCTGGAACCCACAGGCCCCTCCGCCGGCTCCCCCCGAGCGGGCCACACAGCTCATCCTGCTGCCGCCGGAGACCACGGCAGAGCGGCCGGAGAAGCCCTGGCTCCCGCTGCTGAAGGATTTCTTGCAGACTTGTCTGTTCATGGTGAGAAGACTTAGTGAAGGACGAGTGCGAGAATGAAGCAGGGAGACCCAGAGTCAGAGGAAGGGGAAAGGAAACTGAAGACCTCTGCAGAATAAAGCCCTTTATGTACATCTCAGAGGTTGCTGGGCTCAAATGAAGGAGAGATAATTAATCCCAAATAGTCATGGGTTGTGTTTGCCTCCAAGGCAATAAGTTTGTTCCAGGCTCCTAAACACACCTTGAAAATAATCTGAAATGGTAAAAGTACTGAGGTGGCAGGCTTACCCGGCAGGGGGTGGTGCCTGGCATTGCTCTATGCTTGGCCATGGCCACCTCCCAGCTTTGTCTGACCCAGAAGGCACACTCATCTGCCATCAGGGGCCCTTGGCCCTACCAGAACTGGGCTCAGCTCTGGAAGGGGTGACATGGACAGTGGGTTGGAGAGGTTCTAGTTCTCCGGGTGGTAAACAGTGAAGCCCAGCCAAGGACTCAGGGTAAATATCTCAATAGAAGGGGTGATACATTTCATTCCACTGTCAGCACATGGTCACTGAGTGTCCACTGTATGCCCAGCTCTGTGCTGTATTTAGGGATGAAGGGGTGACCTCCCTTCCTCACTTCCTGGAAACAAAGCCCGGAACTCTCACAAATCTGCTTCCTGGTTCCCCTTCTACCCCAAGCTCCAGGTCAGCAGGCAGCAGCATTTGGTTTCATGATTATCTTTTGGGAAGAAATGCAGTTAATACCTTTTGATGAAGCGCTCTGATGAAGCATTAGCAAAATTCAACATGCAAATTGTGTATCTGTTGTTTGTTTGTTTGTTTGTTTTGAAAACTTCATAGAAACTAAACACTATTCCACCTTTTGGGGTGCCTCTAAGGCTTCCTTTCTTGCTCCTCCCACTTTCGGCACTTCTCTGGCTTCAGTCCAAGGTCCAGGAAACTGGAAATTCAAACATAATTCTATCACCACGTCAACAAATTTTACAGATCACCTAACTCGTACCAGGTACTAGAGTGTCAGTCATGAATAAGACATGCAGGGCCCCTGTGAGACCGTTCTCTGGGGGAAGGCCCTCGTAACCAGACCCACCCACCACCCTCAGGAAGCCGACGCGGTAGAGTCGGCAGCACTACCATATGTGTCTGACTTCAAAGCCTGAGAATCTGCCAGCCTGGAGTCTTTCAGACGCTTAGAGACTGGGCTCGGCTCGTGCAAGAGGAAAACCTTCCTGCACAGCTCTGCAGCCTGCCAAGGCACCGCATCTCTCTCCAGGACTGGTCTTTTTGTATTCCTTCTGCTGTCACATTAGGCCCTATGAGGTCTTGGCAGGAGCCTCCTCAGAATGGGCAGAAAGGAGAAAAGAACAGGGGATTCTTCGACACTCACCAGGAAGGGCTCGAGATGACCCAGGTGCAGAGGAAGTGAAGTGTTCTTCAATGGCTTGGTTCTCTGGCCTTGTCCTTCTCTCCCCCGTTTGTTATCCCCATGCTGTGCGCCATTCCGGCCCCTTCCCAGAATAAGGCCATAAACTTTCCAGGAGGTTACTGTCTTGTAATTTACTAGATCCACTGGGTCTCAGCACAGTGCTTTGCTAATAATAGATGCCCATAAAGGTTGGTTGAATAAATCAATCAGTTGATGAACTAATGAATGAATTGCACCTTTATACTGAATTACAACCAAGTATAACTGGTCAAAAGCTAGTTCAAATCCCATTACATGATGTAGCCCAAGCTAACTGAGATCATTTTAAAATGAGGAATCCAGACCTTTCAAGTTTGGTGTTCAGAGTTAAGAAAATGTTCATGCAAAATGAGTGTCACCTCCTGTCCTGGGGAAAATGGAGTAGAATCACAGTATGAAGAATCAGTCAATCACAGAATGAACTTAAAGTTGGCTGGGCATTCGAGGTCACATGATCTGCCCCTGCCCGTCCTGGGCGCCCTCTCTAGCATGTCTGCCTCCAGCCCTGCTCTTCCACAGCTGCTGTGCAAGGCCTGATGGTGTGGAATCAGCCCAAGGTCCAGAGGGTGATCACACACAGACAGCTTCCTCATTTTTGCTCCCTCAGAGGAACCAGAGTTTAAAGAATGAACCAAACCCAGAGCTACACCCACCCCTCCCCATGACTAACCATAACAAAGTTATTTAAATTACCTGTGCATCAGTATCATTAACCATTAAAGATGGTCAATCACCTCTGCCCCTCTGGATCTCACAGGAACAGAGCTGGATGAACGAAATCTCTGTCAAGTGTTTGAATAAACATATCACAAAAATAAAGTTACATTTTTCTCTTAATATTTAAGAATATGCACTTTAGACACAAACAGATCCAGTTTTTTAATTAATTTATTTTTTAATTGAGGCATAATTGACATATATTAGTTTCAGGTGAACATCGATGCAGTTTTTAAATCTCAGCTTTGTCACTACATGTCCATGAGCAAGTTCTTCAACCTCTCTGTGCCTCAGTTTTCTCATCTATAAAATTAAGTTATTAATGGTACCTCTTTCATCGAGTCATTGTCATGCCTAGATAGCACCTAGCACATTGTAAGTGTTCAATCTTTTATTTTTTAATGTTCACTATTATTTTTAACTATTTTTGTTTGCAAGTCACACAGAATTTTAACTTTCATACAGGTCAAAAAAATCCATCCAACAAAATAATGCTTCCATTTGCAAAGTGTCCAGTGAGGCCCCACAGGGAATGTGAGCACAGCTTGGGGCTAGGTAGATAGAAATCATATCAATTCCACAACTTGGGGTGAGGGGAAGCAACCTCAGCTTCCAGCCTAACAAAGAGAAATCAGTGAACAAATATGAGGAGTGTTTACTGAGCAGAGACTCTCTCCATCTCTATGTGGTGGAGAGAATGGTTTGCAGAGAGCTCACAACCTAGACAAACCAGACAATACAAGACTGTGAAACTAAGTGCTACATTGCAGGTGCTGTGAGAACATGGAGAATCAAAAAACAATGAAAACGTGGAATCATATGGAAAGGCTTCAGGAAGAGACATGAGCTCAAACTTTTCAGGAGGGCAGGCTTGAACAGATGGAGGAAAGGCATTTCAGCCCAAGTGGTCATGAGCCAAGGCTCAGCATTGAAAACAAGCACAGTTGGATTTAGGAAATGAAGACTCTAAGGGACTTTTGTCATTTGTGGATCGACAGCATCTTTGAACACCCTTCCTACAGTTTGGTCATTTCCCACATTGTGGTTCCCACCTTCCTGGGATAGAATCTAGAGAACACATTCCCAGACTCCTTTGTAGCTAGAGGCCAGGCCTTTCAGTCTTCCAATGAGAAAGACTCTTGTGAGACTTGGGAACAACGTAAGGAGATGGCCATAGACAGAGAAATTGATCTTTCTGGAGAGCACAATGATGGAGACAGCTGGGTCTCCATGGGCAGAGGTTGAGTCTTGTCCTTTTGTCCCAAGCGTCATGGGTACAGCAGCAGTCATCACGATGTTTTCACCAGAGCAGCCACCAGGTGTTACTGGGTGTGGTTCCAGGCCACAGAGCTCCCAGAGATGCCATGAGCAATGGAGTCCTTTAATAAATTATTTTCAGTTTGCATTAGATGTTCATATTTGCAAGTATGAGCTCTGATCGATACAGTGATGAGATAGGTCTGGCTAGAGCAGAAAGGGATTGTAGGAGAAGCTGCTGGGAAAGTGAGTGAGAACCGGATGGAGGGCCTGCCTGTTGAGCCATACAACATGAGGCTGCTGCACGGCCAGGTGTGGGGCCTGAAGTCCAGGGTGATGGGTCTCTAGGAATTCTTAAACCCATAGTGACTCAAGGAACCTTACTGTCTGCCCACCCCTGCCACCAGGGCATATACCAGCCATCACTAGAGCCCACTGATTCTGAGCCATACTTGTCATTTTTTAGAGGGAAGTCACTTGGAGAAGAATCTTTGAGAAGCAAAGTCATAGCCAAGCTTGTCATTAGCTAGTCCTAGATTTGGGACCTCCCTAGCATGTGGTGGAAGGAGTGGGAAGAGGAGCTTAATCTATTTTTATTCTGCAGGCAGGATTGTGAAGACATTGTCAACAAGGAGACAAAAAAAACAAAACAGAGATTGGACGTACATTAACAGAACTAGAATGTCAGTTCTGATTGGAGAGTCATGAGTGATGCAGATGACGGAAGTTGAGTTGAAATTCTTTTTTTTTTTTTTATCCTCACCTGAGGACACTTTTTCCATTTTTTGTTCAGATAGAGTGGGAAGGAGAGAGAGAGAGAAAAGCATCCACATGAAAGGGACACGTCGAGTGGTTGCCACCCACAAGACCCAACCAGGGCCGGGGACAAACTGCAGCCGAGGTACATGCCCTTAGCAGGAACCGAACCCGGGCCTCTCAGGACTGCAGGCCAACGCTCTAACCACTGAGCCAAACTGGCCAGGGCTGAGTTGAAATTCTTGATAATCAAGCTCAACCCTCTGCACTTGGAGAACCCAATAAATACTTTGAGAAAACAGAATTGGCTTACACTCATCCCCAACATCTGGAGTATTTGAAGCTTAACTAAAAACCCTAAGTACTTCTCCCTGGAGAAATGAGTGAGTCACTGTGCTGCAATGTATCCGCTCAGAGCCTCATAGGATGCTGCAACCAGAAGGCTAGCCAGTCCGCTCCTCTGTCTGGAGGCACACACACATACACAGCCTCTCCTGCTCTTTGGGATCCCCGTGGAAAACAATTCATCAACTCTCCCGGCTTGCCCAGACCAACAAGGCACCACCCTGAGCCGAGGAAGGTCTTCATGATCTAGCTTTCCATGCCTTCCGCTCCATTGGGAACCTGACTCCTCTTCATGGGATCATTGAAGTTGGGGTTGGCAGTGGCCTCACCCACCTGTCCACCATCACCATGGTACCCACCCCCCTCTGGATCTGAAGGCCCCTTTCTTTAAGATTTTTTATTGGTTTTTAAAGAGAGAAGAAGGAAGCGGAAGAGGGAGAGAAAAATAGTAATGTAAGAACGGAACATCCATTAGCTG